TCAGGGCTGTCTGGCTCCAAAGCTAAATTATTATAATGTCATAAGGAATTCTATTAAGGTTGGAAGGAAAGTATCATGTATTAGAATAAAGGAAGACAAGACTTTATAGGATGATTGGGGCCAGATTGGAGGATATTAAATGCTGAGTTTTTAATAATGGGAAGATAAGATCTTAACATGGGTTTTTAAAGGAAGTTGCTAAGCATCTTCACTGAGGTGAGTGAGAAATAGTCACATCATGAAGCCAGGGCTTAACCCTGACAGGTTGCTTCCAACTCAGAGATTTTGTGATATTACGTAGAACTTTATAGCAGAACCATGCACTGAGGGCAAGTGAATACCTCTATCCTTTTCCTCATGTTAGTGTTACCAGGAGCCTCTCCATCCCACAATCCCCTGGCACTTTCCATACTTTCAGTGTGGAAGACTGTGTGTTCCTGGTGGAAGCGTGGATGGGCTGTCACTAAGTCTATTTTTTTTTTTTTTAATTTCAGTCTCCCAGTTGTCAGCTTTTGAGGCTGACTTAAATGAGACAGCATGCTGTGGTAGATGGCGCATGGGCTTTGAAACTGGCTAGATTTGGGATGACATCTCTATTCTGACTTTCGTCAGTCGTGCAACCACAGCCTTGGACAATGTATCTAACTACCCTGAGCCCCAGTTTTCTCATCTAAAAGTGGAGACATTTCTACCTTATAGGAAAGCACCTAGCTCATTCTCTGGAAGTCTAATATGTCAAGCACTTAGTCCGTTAGGTGAGTCAGGCATCTGCTCCTGTCAATGTCACCATCAACAATGTCAGCACCATGTTTTTATGTTAAGTCTTCTCCATGCAGTTGGATTGTGAAGATCGAATACCTCCTTCCTAGGACAAACAATGTGGGGAAAGTTCAGTCAATCTGAAATGAGTGGACCCTGGTCCAAGGTCTAGCTCAAACAGGAGGTGACTGAGATCTTGGACAGTGGGATTGTTGTGAGCATTGATTGATGGGAAAGCTATGAAAGTACTTTGTAAATCCATGAAGCTTGACTAAACCATTAGGCAGAATGATAAAATGCGATTATGGCCATGTCCTCGACAGAATTCAACTGAAGTTTCATAACCCTTGGGTTCACACGCGTGGTCCTTTGCTGAAGTGTATTCAGGATCCAGACAATCTCCCTTGTTGAGTCTCGCTTTCTTCCTTTTTTCTGGTGTTTGGCCTCTAAGACCACACACCCTTCTCTCACTGTCTGGCATTAATGGTGGCCTGACTCTGGCCTGGTCCCTCCACCAGTGGTGGGGTGTTGACCGGTCTGCTGAGCCCTGAAGCCCACAGCTGCCAAAGAGACTCAGCTAGAGCTAATCTTCTAGGTTGAGTCATGGCATCTGGTTGGGACAAGTTGGGCATATCTTTTCGGTCACAAGTGTCTCCCCAGGAACTCTTCAGTACTCACCACTTGCTAGTTCCTAGGTATGCGGGGTGGTTAGACCCAGTCGATCTCTTATGAAGAGGTTCTTTTTCCAGAGGGGAGGTTATCATAATGCATTTGATAACAACTGTGAGTTCTTC